GCTTCCTCGTCCTCCGGAGCGATAGCCCGGGCTGGCGCTGCGGCTTCGGAATCCTACGAAGAGGGACGGCAGTGATGGGCTTGGCATCTCTAGCAAGTGCATGGAAGGAGAGTTAGCCTTCTCCGCTTCCCGGCAGCTGTTCTCGAACATTCAGATTGTACAGACTATTACAGATAGCGCGAGTTTCTTTAAGCTCCACCTCTGAATGCACCTCTTGAAGGCTTCCCAACGAAGACTATGCACGCGATTACGACTCTAAGATCTCCGGAGGACCCATGGCTCCCAGCGAGCTCCGACAGGATGCCCGCCTACTTAGGGATTAGGCAACTGATTCTGATTTGGGTAGTTTTCTAAATTAGGGTCCCTTTTTAGGGTCCTTTTTATAGGGGTGCCGTATTATATTGTGGACCTAAAGGGGACCCTAATGTAGAGAACTACCCATTCTACAATGGAGAAGCTAGATAGGGCCTGAAGGCATTGCAGAGTTAGACGCGGAATTATTGCTCCACATCTGGACACACCCGATGCAATCCTCCGCACCTCAACTGCTATTGTTGGCTTATGCAACCACCAAGTAAAGTCTTCAACCGTGTATTGACGAAGGTCTCGATGCTTGCATTCGCATCCTGCCTCCTTGACTTTGACCATTGCGGTAGCCACCGTCTCTGTATCCGCCGTAGCCACCGCCGCCACCACCGTTGCGGTAGCCGCCGTTGTTTCGGTAGCCACCATAGCCTTTCAGAGTAGATTTTGCTGACAGTGCCTCCGTCGCCGTAGTCTACATGGCTGCACTGCGCATCACAGGCTTAAGTACAATGGCCGTACCTGCAGTGTAAGACCTTAGCCTTAGCATTGAGAAGACCGGTCTCGCTCTGTGTGTGTGTGTTCGTGTATTCTTATACAACTCTTATGCACAGGTAGAGCAGGACGGATGCATGCAAACAAAAATGCCTTGCACCGACTTCCTCCATCACATCCATTCATTTAATGAGTAGTCACTCCTTTCTCTGTGTTCTGCATTCCTGGTGCCCGAGCGAGTAAGACTTGAGACCGGATAGGTGAGTGGGTGCATGTGGGTGTGGGTGTGGGTGGGCGGGCTGGCGGGTGGATGGGATGTAGGTGAGGACGGTGAGGAACCATGTGGATGCCGCCTCTCTCGATCAGCTCGAAGCTGACAGTATCGACCCTTGAAGATGTGCGACTAGCTAAGACTCTGAAGCAACAGCAGCCGCAACACCCCATGGCCACTCCCTCTGCGGCCTCCCCGCGAGGAGGACCGAGAACCACCCCGCGATGAGAAGGCCATCTCCTCTCTGTGCTCGGGCGACCCCCCCCGACATGACATTAGGCATGGAAGGGCTGGTTCAGGCATACTGTAATGCTTTTGGGCTTCTCTATAGTAAAAATATGATGAGGAACCCGGAGGAATAATATTGGTGATTGGTAATTGTTGGGGCTTCTACATTACAAGTACAAGCATCAGGACCGACTTTGCATGAAACTCCTGTCGGATGTTGGATGGCGGCCTACTTGCGATGCCACCCTAAACCTACGTAAAATCGCAACTGGTTGGCTGCACCACCGACAGCCTCACAACTTTACGCCCCAAGCCCCAAGCCTGCGCACCTCTTTAACACAAGGTATCTGAGCCCAAAGCCAACATTCACATTCCTGATCACAACGTTTTCAGTACCAATGAGCCAAATGGGTGTGTCAGCATCTCCTCGAGCCACCTGGGGACGTCCGACGCCGTGTCGTCCTCCTCAGGCATGGGTTTGCGGTGTAAGCGATGTATGGACTCCATACAAAGTCTTGACGTGCACTCGCCACATTGCTTTTTTGAGGAGGCCGGGCCGGAACGAATCCTTCACATGGGGTCTGGAGCCCTGGTTTCTACTGAGTTCCAAGCGCAGGCATCAAGTTTGCCCGGGCATGTGATTGTGCGACTTGTTGAGCACGTCAGCAAAGACACAGGAACGCGTTTGTGGTGCATTTTGTGGTTTCTACAGCCCTGATGGGACCTGGAATTCTCCATCCGATGCCTGCAACTGAGTGCTGCGAGCCCGCAGCCTTTTAACATTTAACATCTGTTCATTCTTCCAAGCTCCACTTTTGGGGGCCTTTTGCCAGTCTTTTGAGTTGGGGCTTCAGGTTGCCTCCGAGCCAAGCTTCATCTGCTGGAATTCCTGGAATCAGATGATTTCGGATCCGTTTGTGAAGGATCCTTCTGTTAAATTTCGGAACCTCCTTTACAATCGACACCATAAAGCTCACCATGAGAACAGCAGCTTGGCCTTCTTGGCGTCTTTCAGAGATCGGACGATGTCCTGCTTGCTGAGATACCAGATCCGGCAGTAGCAAACCCGGAAAAAACCCTAAACCCTAAACCCTAAAGTTCCTACCGGCAGGATGCAAGCCTGGCTACAGGATCGCAATCGCTCAGAAGCCTCCAGAAAACCCTGGCTCTTACATCCCGCACCCCGAAGCTTTCTTGAACCCGCAAACTGATCTGGAATCTGGAATGTGGGGAGAGGTGGCATCCTGTAAAGAGCTGCACCTGGAGTGTCTGGCACTGGCGTCACGATTAAGCAACGGAGAACGTTCCCTGAACCCCGATCCTCACAAGCTCCCAAACACCATCACCCCAAACCCTTAAAATGCCAACGCCCTAAAGGCCGGAATCCTGAAACCGAAACCCAAAGTCTTAACTGCCAGGCGGGCCGTAGGCTTGTTGGGACTGCGAAGCTCCGATGTGCTTTTGGAGCAACTTGCGAAAACCCGACCCTACACCTGATGTCTGCTGATGCTGATGACGACGACGCCGACGGCGGCTGCTTGTGCTTTTAATATGAGAGGGGCCGTAATAATTTGACAAGGGTTTGGGGGTCCATAATACGATAATTATAATGAGGAACCCCAAAAATAATATATAGGTATACTAGTCAGGCCCCTATATATTAGATGCAAGCTTCTTGTTTTTGTCAGATCACCGCGGGGCGCCCCGGCCTTGAGCGCTGGCTCCTTGGAGCCGACGAAGGAGGTGGCAACGCCCTTGTTGCCGATGCGGCCTGGGATTCTTTGCGAGATTCCATGCAGAGGCGCAGAGTTTTACCAGGGCAAACTCCCCAATGTGATTCCGCCACGTCGGTTCTGTGCTTCTGTGTGAGTTGAGAGGCTTTGCAGGCTTCGGGGTATGCCGCCAAACCTCAAGTGGGGCATTACATACCGGGTACGCAGGCGGGGGATGAATTCTAGAAAGACTGTGCTGCAGAACATCGTCACCCGCAACCCCAAGAAAAATGTCGGAGGGGGCCAGACCTGACCTCTCAACCCGGCGCGTGAACTCTTAAAAGCCCATAGTAGCGACGATTCTGACGTGAAGTTTCAACGTGCCTCGAGGCTCGAATGGACTTGAAAAACACCGGCGCTGAGGAAAGAACCCGTTCGCCCGACCCGGTGGACGTAGTCTTCACCATTCCTTGGTCATGGACCCATGGAGCTTGTTGTCATCACGCTGGCTTCAGGAGGCCGACGGAGACTCATACAGCGAGGCACCCGGGCTCTCGTCTATGGCAACTCTCCACTCAAAGTACCCAGGCATTGCAGACCAAGGCTTTGCCTAAAGCTGTGTCTCCATTCCCCGGCCTGAACCTCCTAGATCGTAGCCCCAGGCCCTGGATTTGGGGGGGGGACCCATCGTATTCTGCCTTGGGGTCTTCCCCTTGATAAGTTTCGTTCTAGAGTTCCCAACTCCAGCCACGGAGACAGGGCTCCAAAAAAGTGACCTGGTGGAGCTTCTACAAGCACGAGGCTGCAGGAGACAATCTCCTCTTCTAGGGCTGACATGGGAGCAAAGAGCAAAGCGGCATCGAGAGGTGCAGCTCCTACGCACTGAACGGGACAGGGGATCATCTCGACCATGATATGCCTCGTCAGGTTGCAAAAGGCCTCAAAAACTTGTTGTTTTTGGACGAAGTTACAAGATGTTTGATGCTATTAAGACAATAAGACAACAACTTCGGGCGTCTTTTGAATGCATGCCGGGAGGAATGTGACCGAATGAATGCACTACTTCAATCCTCAAATCATCAGAATATCCCGAGTTCCTCTAAACCTCAAGAAGGATGCAACAAACCTGGTCAAGACATGACTTTGTCACGAGTTGGCAACTGCGTCGGCCCAGAAATCAACTTCCGACATCAGGCTGGCTAAAAGGCTACAGGAGCGCCCGCCTGCTCTGTGCGTTGATTCCTAAAACCCTCAGCCTTTGCCCCCCCCTCAAAGTGCTCTGCGAGCTTCAACCTTCAGCTCCATTAGCTCCCTCGTTCAATGAACACTTCGGCTTCTGTGTACTTACCAAGGGACACAGAGCAGCCGCCACAGACAGCCTTCGTCAGACTGAAGTAGAAGAACTTGGGGACAGTTTCGTTCATGGTCACAGGTCCGTACAGATTTATGTCCACATGCCCTGAGCGACCACCCGGGGAGAAGTTGAGCTCGCCCGACTGCTGTACGTAGTCAACCCAGTTCTTTGCAGTGCCATCGTGTGTTTCGTACCAAACGGTCACAGTGCCAGAGTCAATGTCGCCAGCCCTGATTATTTCCACTCGAGCAAAGCCGAGAGCACGAAGAACGTAAATCTCCGAACCGGCCAAGGTCATAGAGCAGTTGCCCTCACTGGATGTCCTGGTTCTCTTCAGGTCATCGACTGAGGCCTGTAGCAAAGGGGCCTCATCCGAAACATCCTCCTGCACACTTTGGGCCACCTGGCAGTGCTCGGAAAGCACAGGAAGGGGTGCCAGGAACAGCACCGAGGGGAGCACCCATCCTACGAGGCGCTGCATTGGCGCCTTAGTTCGCTCCCCCACTTCGCTTTCCGATTTCCTCTCCTTGGCCCCTCTTGAGCCTATCAGCTTCAATGATCGCCACAGGCTTTCAGAAGAAGATCTGACAGGATTCGCTCTCAACTTAACTTGTTCTGGATACCTGTGGCCCCCGATTCAAGTCGCAGGCCTTGCTGTACCTATTCGCCAACCTTCACGCGGCTTCCCTACGACCGGGCTATCGGCGAGCCCTTGAGTCGCCATCAAAATCCGAGAAAAGCCTAGATTCGATGGCAGGTCGTAGTTGATCACGTGGTCGATGCCAGGCAAGTCCAAACCCCGGGCTGCGACGTCTGTTGCAACCAAGACCTCAGAGGGTCGTGGAAGCTCAGAGCTTGCAGACTCGATGGCCTCTTCAGCGCATGATGTCCCCTGCGTCCGCTAATTTCGGTTGTGAGTTACAGCACCAAAGGTACGACATTGAAAGATTGACGGTATCCTTCAAGCGTGGTTGGATAATGGTTGATACTCAATGTATTGCCAATTGTTCACCAGACGCAGCCGGCGCCGCATCAACTTTCCGATGCTGAATTTGACAACTTCATTTCGAAACAAAAATCCCCGGAAACACATCCCTGAAAATAGCTCAGCTGCATGTGCACGGCCCGTCCGCAGTGCATTGAGCGAACGATCGCGCATGGACTGGCTGACACCTGGCCAGGCCGAAACACGTGGTATGTACACTGATAAACATCAATCATCACTTCTGGGTGCTGACAACATGCACTACAACTCTCTGAGAAGGGAAGCAAGCGACACGGGCAAATATCTCGGATTGCTAAGACCGACGAAGAACTTCAGCAACTCCGGCCTACATATACCGGCATGTGCATGTGCATGTGTGTTTGCATATAATATAGTACACTTATAATACATATGGTCATGCATATGATCATTCATATGTACCTCTGTGTCTGTGCTTGCTTGGTAATGCGGCATTCCATGTATACATGTATGTATGTCTGTCTTTCTGTCTGTCTGTCTGTCTGTATGTATGTATATGTATATGTATATGTATATGTATATGTATATGTATATGTATATGTATATATGTATGTATGTACGTACGTACGTACGTACGTACGTATGTATGTATGTATGAGTGTATGTATGTATGTATGTATGTATGTATGTCTATGTCTATGTCTATGCCTATGTCTATGTCTATGTCTGTGTCTGTGTCTGTGTCTATGTCTATGTCTATGTCTACGTCTACGTCTACGTCGATGTCCATGTCCATGTCCATGTCCATGTCCATGTCTATGTCTATGTCTATGTCTATGTCTATGTCTATGTCTATGTCTATGTCTATGTCTATGTCTATGTCTATGTCTATGTCTATGTCTATGTCTATGTCTATGTATGTATGTACGTATATAGAAATTGGTAAAAAAATATTTTGAAGGGATTCCCAGTGTTTTCTAGTTGATTTCCTAAACACACAATCCGAACTCCTGAACCCTAAATACCGAATCACCATGGTCTTTACTAAGGCTTTTGGCTTCTGGAATGTGTCTGTGTGTGTGATTTGTTTGCTTTGGTTTCGGTAGACCTGTGATCCTGACCCTACGTGGCACTACTCCATTGTCCAGACCCTGTCTGTCCTTGGCAGATTTTTACAGCTCCATGCTAAGACCATAATGGAGGAGGCTGATTAGACCAGCATAACGTGCGTCATACAGCTCCATGAACTAGCTATAAAGAATCCCTCCCAACAGGAACTCTAATCTCAAGAATCTACAAGAGAGTCACCCCCTTCCCCGCCAAACCCTAAACCACAAACCCTAAACCCCCTCCCTTTTGGCTCAAGTCGTGTGTTTGAGACGGCACCGGTGCGCTCAGCACGCACAAATGACACCTTGTGCTTCAGCTTGCAAAGATGAGTAGTGGAGATCTTGTCAACCGACCACTACGCGACCTCATTGTCTGCGCAGCAAGCGAAGTACTTGCGATATTTGGACGAAGACTGGCAGAGCTTTGAACATCTCGCCATGGACGAGATACTTACGTTTGACCCAGCTGTTGGGCCGGTTGTGAGTATTGAGGAAGACACTTTTACCCGTCGGGGCCCAGCTGCTGTGGACCTCGTGAGACCAAGGCCAGCATGTCCAGTAGCGACAAATTTGCAGTTGGCTGCGCCGGCACGATTCGATGCTACCCCAGCAGTCGCTGGTCCACCAGCTGTACCGCTAGTTGGCGGATACTCGTGTACAATGGACCGACGATTCGTCTCACGCAACATTGGGCCAAGTCTGATTGTCGTGCCCACTCCGAAGGCATTTAAAGAGGTATTTCTGTCGCATTCGCGAAGAAAATCGTTAAAGCCGTCTAGACTCTATAGATCCCTTTCAGGATCCCTTTGCGGCTCCCGTTAAGGATCCCTCTAAAGATCCCTTTAAGGCTCCCTTCAAAGAACCCTTTAAGGAACCCTTCAAGGAACCCTTTGCGGGAATCCTTGAAGTTAAGAAGTTAAGAAGTCCCTTGATTATATGTAAGAATAGTATCAATAGGCTTCCTTTCTATCATGAGACTCAGCAAATAGGGTTACGATTCTGTACTTATACCTAGTTATCACCTCCAAGTGCTTAAGGCGCCTGACACATTGATCCTCACCGCGAACCGAGAGCTCTGTGAGCAGGCTCGCGCAGTTTCGGGTTTTAGGAGTTGAGGGTGTCGGCTTTAGGGTTGGGGTCTTCGGATCTAGGGTTTAGGATTTACGCTGTAGGGTTTAGGGTTAATTTAAAATTTAGGTTTAAAATTTAGGGTTTAAAGGCCTTGAATTGCCGTGACCTACTTTTTTGGTAGGTTCTGAGTTTTGAAGCCCAACATAGCATTTATCGGGGCACTACCAGAGAGTAGGTTTTGGTGGTTTACTGTACGCTTCTGTTCGGCCAAAACGGGATCTTCGGGAAGCTTCAGATGAGCCAGTACCCATAGTCTCTATTGTAGCTCCTTTTTTCGCTTAGCCAGTTTTATGTTGAAGATTCTGTAGCCCCAAAAAGGAACTGCAATTTTCTGGGCGGATCATAGAGTCGACAGACGCATCCGTGAGGAACTGCAATGGAGATTACAGGTAAATCATTAAATCTGCTCTTGCACATTTCCGATTTGGAGCGGCGGTTGCGATTTTGGGGAGTCCGCCACCACCCGTCACCGCTTGCACATCGGAGCGCTCCAAGGACAATCATTGGAGGATGTGGGGGTTTCCGAAAGTAGGGGACCCTAATATAGTACCCTAAATAGTAGGATCCTTATTATAAGGACCCCAAAATAAGGTACCCCTTATTTTGGGAAACTCCCATGTAAAGCAGAGCTTGAAGGGCTGCAAGAGTCTATCGGCACAAGCGGCGGAAAACGCTCAGAACCTTGAGACTGCGACAGGGTATCTGGACTGGTTGCAGGACAATATTCCGGACCGTTATCAAGAGCTTCGGGTTTTTCTTGACTCTGTAGGGCCAACACTCTTTCCGCGCGGCCCCGCTCCAACTGCATCGCCTCCGACCCCGACCTTGCTGGTTCCCTAAACCCTCAACCCTAAGCCCTAAGCCCTACACCGAATCGTTGTTGAGAGCCGGTTGTCAAAGCTTTTCCAAGCTGTTTCAATTGAGGGCAGTCTATATATGTTCCGGTGAGAAATCTTCAGCTACGTTTAGGGTCTACTTTGAGGCCCAGGGGACTTAGTAAGTCGGTTATAAGTAGGGTTATAATTGGGGTAGCAGCTACTTACTAAGTCCCCTGGACCTCCAAGTAGACCCTAAACCCTAAACCCTAAACCCACTTGGAGGGTTTCCGGGG